TAGAGGTCTGTCGGGAGGCCTCAGGGAAGGTGTCCGGGAGCCACAGGGGAGGGGCCTGGAGTGTGTTCTGGTCCAGCAAGGAGTGTGATCCCTAACCTCCGTAACGGAGGAAGGAAATAAAAGGCATGATCATGTAAACTTACTAAACGATATTTTCAGAGTCAATCCAAGTAAGTATGTCACAACTTTGTTTTTACCCAGGTCTTCAATTTATGCAGTTACTCTGCTGTGAAAGTGAACTAACCTTGTAACTGGTGAAGGCCTTGGAAATTTTTGCCAGCCGAGAGGTCTCTCTCACTCAGGGTAAGATGTAATCATAGAATGGGAGGGCAAGGTGGGAACTGAGTTAACTTAATCCGATTGCCCGATTTTATACATTGCCTCCGTTTGTAAACCGAAGCTGAGAACAGGAGTGGCCTGTGCACACAGCTTATTAAAGGTCCGGTTGGATCAGTACTCCTCCGTCCCCCCCCCCCCCCCAGACACAGTGCCTCCCTCTTAAAATGTGAGTGGTCACTTTGAATAACAGACTGGATTCAGCTTTTGAGTTGTGTCTGTAGTGGACAGATGTTCGTAAACTGCATTTTCCTTTCCAACAACCTTTCCTCATTAGTGTTCAAATCCTGCCTTGGGCGGCCTCTAGATGATGAGAATATTCTTAGGAGGTGTGGCATTTGGGAGACCACATAGCCCGTGCGCCCTGCCCCTGGTGAGGACGGCCACGGGAAAGGTGGGCGTAGGAGGGAAGGGTGCTCTCTTGTGTGATCCGAACGGAGCATGCGCTCCCCACTTACCTTTGAAAAGTGGGACACCCCAGAATAAAGTTTCAGGATATCTTGACCTTGTTCTGTTTCTCTGGCTCACCACCATAATCCAGTTCTAGGACCATTAACCAGAATCCTGTCTGCTGGTCTGTGTTCAGACTTACCGTCTCTTAACCAGGAAGGGACCATCTAGCTTGTGTTTTGTCAAATTATTTAAGAGATTTTCCTGAAAAGTCCTGTTGGCTATTTATTGAGCCAAAAAATAAATAATTCCATTGCTTCCATTCCAAAAGGGAGTTTTTTTCCCCTGAATGAATAAATGCTGTAGACTTGGTTGGGTGCCTTGTTTTTGTTTCTGTTTTGCCTTTTTACATGACAGCTGGTTGAATTGTAAATTACTTATTCACATTAATGTAATAATATGTGTGTGATCCTGTAGTTTTTTGTTTGTACCAAACAAGTTCTGAAAATGTTTGTGCATGCCCTGTGTATATTTAAATTCCATTTAAAAGAAACTGCATACTTCCAGAAAAATTAGAGCACTTAAAAACAATCTTCACTTCTGGAGAGATCCTACCTGTTGTAAGAAATCGAAGAATATGGTCAGGTGGTGAGTGCGTTTTTAAAATAGCAATCTGCAAAGTCCTACTGTCCATTAGTGTTTTAAGGCTGACAGTAGCACCTAACTTTAGAAACCAGGAAGTATTTCCTCATTTTTAACAGGATACAGTGATGCAGTTGTTACTTGTTTTTAAGGCAAGTTTTCTGACCCAACTGGGAGAGATTCTGTTTCTCGAAATGCCATTACTTACACTCTTACTACAAGGAAACTTTTCTGAGCATGTGAGGCCACTAAGTTTGACGAGCCCACTATCTGCTACGCTGGCCGCAGTCCAAGAGTGAGAATAAGTGTGTGTTCACACAAGTGTAGGAAAAAGAGACTACAACTAACACACGCTTTATTTACTTGATTGAAAGTCACGGCACGTACAAGGTGTACTAGCGTGGGCCTCAGTGAGATGTAGCTGGGTTTTCTGTGCTCGAGGTCACCCCACTGCCGCCGTTGCCGTTGGCTGGTTTTCTTTGAGGATCAAGGTGGGTACTTTCATATAAAATCTTATTTTTAATTCCTTCTCTGGCCATTCTTTCCTGGATTCTTAGCTTTGCATGATTATACCTACAGTGGAACCTTGTAAGAAAAGAACAGGAGTTAAGTCTTTCTTCATAGAAAGTTCTTCTAGAGACAAGTGTGATGGCTGTAGTAACAAAATTCAAGAGGCCTTACAGACGACTATTCCAAGACTGAAAATACCACCATTCTAATTCGGAGTACTGTTTGTGGGGGGTAGTTTGATGTCAAGAATACCTATGAGCACATTATTATTAAGGTATGCTTTACATAAAATGAGGACTTTCATGACCTTTAGCTTAGTTTTACTTGTAGAACCTCATATGTATGATGTACTCTAGGTCCTCTGGGTCTGGCTCCCCCCATCCCCCTTAAGAAAACCCATTATCAGATTCATGCATGTGTTGTGCCAGTAGTTGTGAACACACTCTTAAAGTAGCATTTTCAGCTGTGCTGCCATAAGCCGGAAGTGAGCGTGTAGAAGGTTGAGGCCTTCCCTAAAGTACAAGTCATAACTTGGTGTTGACAGAATGTCCTGCATTCGTCTGTTCATCTGACGAATGGTATAAAATGCGTCTACATACGCACATGTAAAAGATACAAAGGCACAGGGGTTGGGGGAGTCTTCTAGTGGGAGGTGGCTCAGAAAAGAGCATGTGCTTGAACTGGAGAAACCTATCACCATCCTGGATATTCTGGAACTACTTAGTACACATACCAGCATCCTAATGTCACCAAGATAAATCCTCCTACTCCAACATCACATGATCTTCTAATCCTACCTGTCAAAAAGCATAACATGACCATTGTAATTAAACATTACATACTAGTCCATCTGGGAAATGTTCACCACACGTAGAGAAAAACAGATACTCACTAGTTAACAAAAAATGTCCAAGGCCAGCCACAACAGATCCTAATGAACCATATAATACTGAATCTCGTGCACAGGGGATGTTCTCGACATCCAAAATTCCTAGGAGCTTAAAGGTCTAGGATAAAATAGAAAAGAACCTGGATTGAACAAAATATTTTATTTCTGGGTGGTTTGGCAAAGATTAAAAACTCTAGGCTATGTGCTTGTGTGACAACCGTGAACCCACTTACCATCTTTGGTCATCGGGCTTTGGCCTACAGTCTGAATCTCTAAATGTGGCAAACCTGATCAGAAAACCCCATTACAACAGGACAACTTAAACATCTAAACGAATTAAAGTATGGTGTTAATACCACAATTTGCCGATTGACTGATTTGGAAATAAGAGCATCCGTCACTCTGATCATTGATCATTTAAACATCAATGAAATTATCTGGTGGGAATCTGGTGATCACTGAAATTAAGCGACACTTTGCTTCCCATACCTCGGGAAGCACAGAATGGTAAAAGTAAATACTCAGCCGCGCTCGCTTATGAGACTATAGTGCCGTTTGTTTTAAAGTCAACAAGGACTTCGGATTTTGTTGGTATCAGGTGAACATCAGGTTTGTTCATGAAAGTATTTCACGTGAAGATAAACGTGCACCATTTCTTGGTCTGTTTCCTTGCCTGTGATAAGAAATTGTGCTGGACTGTATTTGAGTCTTTGTTGATAGCACACGGCACCGAGGGGCGGGGGAGGCGTCATGGGGAAAGCCGTGGAAACGTGCTGGTGGGTTTCTCTGTCAGCTCTGCCACCGACTTCTACAGCCTGTGGGATATACGTGTATTCTTTAATGTCTGTGGCCCTCGATCTATAATGAAAGGCATCAGGCTAGGAGATGATTTAAGTTCCTTCGGGTGCTAAGATGAACCTTGCCTTCTTTTTCTACAGTCTGCGTGGATGTATGGACTTGCTCTTCCTCATTAAAAAACATACTGCTCAGCTTAGCCTCACATGCTTAGTGTGAATATCCAATGGAACTCGATTTTTGGGGTTCGGGGAAGGCAGGACACAATTTTTTTTTTTAAAGTCACACTTGCTTCACTCTGGCATGCCTACGTAAGAAGGACTTAGAAAACAATGAGATGGTTTCCTAAAACTTGAGTAAATGCAAGTTTTCGGTAACAGACTTTGAAAAAAGGAAGCAGACTTGCCCATATAAAGGTTTCAGTCATGGGGGTGCCTGGGTGGCTCAGTCGGTTAAGTGTCCCGACCTTGGCTCAGGTCTGATTGAGTCTGAGCCCCCACATCAGGCTGTCTGCTGTCAGCCCTGCAGCTGTCACTGCCGAGCTCACTTCAGATCGTTTGTCCCCGGCTCTCTGCCCCTCCTCCACTCGCGTTCTCTCTCAGAAATAAACATTTAAAAAAATAACAGTTTCAGTTATGGGGCACCTGGGGTGGCTCAGCTAAGTGTCTGACCCTTGATTTCGGCGCAGGTCGTGATCCCAGGGTCACGGATGGAGCCCCGCATCCAGCCCTGCACGGACAGCACAGCCTGCTTGCGATTCTCTCCTCCCCCAATGTGTGTGTACACACGCACGCTCTCTTCGTAAATATCTTAAAAAGTTTCAATGAATAATTTGCGAACAGCATGGTGTGAGGCAGGATTCTGTGGGAGGAGGGAAAAGACGGGAAGGAATGGGAAAAGGGCAGTAAATGGCAAATCAGATTAAAGGTTGAATTATGAAGATACTCTTGTTTGTATTTCCTCCTGTGTTTGCTGCTTTGGCTCAAGCTGCTGCCAGGCAAGAAGTGTGATTTGGTTCACAATAAAGCTGAAATTCTGTACCTTCTTGATTATCCCATTTTCTTCTCTCTCCCTGTTCCCCCATCCCAGACACACACCCCTAATGCTGCCTGGTGGATAATTGTAAAAGCTCTTTGGTACAAACTTAATACGGTCCCTGTGTTTTCAAAGAGGTTGTTGATTCTGTTTCTAGCAGTTCATTTGATTTAGGAAAACTCCGCTTGTCCCCCATCAGCTCAAAAAGCCAAGGGGGAACAGAACAGTCATGGCAGGTGCGGAGGCTATGAGCTGCTCTGCAGACAGGGCTCCCCACTGCAGTCCAGCGCTAATGCCCTCGTCTTCAGACCAGCCCATTTACCTAGGGGAAGACCAGAAGGGGTGGTTTGTGCCCATTTTCTCAGGTCTGCCACAGGGTAGGACGTCACTATGGCTTGCGACGATCGGGTTACCGGCCACTGCACACATCACTCTATGAATGGCTTTTTGCATGTGGATTCCCTTCCATGCCCGAGTCCTACTGGGCAGCATCTGCAGACGAAACGTTTCTGGGGGTACTTAGGCAAATTGCTACCAACCCCAGTTCTTTATAAAGTAAAATACCTTGCCAAATATCTGAAATAGCACAAAGTCAGCTAGGAAACTTACCTTTTTTCAGTTTAGAGGTTTTCAAATCTGCCCTCAATTCTGGGATGGGCCGTGGAGATCTAGGTTTAGAAAGTTTCAGGGTCCCCCCCCCCTTCTATGAATCTTACCAGATCAGGGACAGCTTTTAGATACTGTTAAGAAAAGTAAATGTTAAAAAGGGAGGTGATTCAAAATAGTCTTATTTTAAAAGACCCCTTAAAAGAAGTTACATCTACTTTATAAAATGGAATCTTCTAGAAAACATGTGGCTACAGGCCAAGGATGCTGCTGCCAAACATTCCACACTACATTTATCAGCACCACATCCAACAAAACTGGTTTGTGCTAAAGTTAAGAAACCAACACTGGTCTAATTAAACAACAGTAATTTAGAGCTGGGACAGGAGTTGTCCTTCCAGGCCCTTTACATCCCTTGTCACAACCACTCAATGTGAGGAGACCTCCGAGCCTGGCTGTGACCTGCTGCAGAGAGGTCAGAGAGGACGTGGAAATAAGTCCGCCTGACCCCCAAAGCTTGTCCTTCCCACTATCCCTTAACCCTTTCTTTTGTTTTCATAAATGAAATAGGGGGACGTTTTCCAAAGGTCACACATCTAGGGAGTAAGTACTAAGTACAGATCGGCAGTTTGTATCAAAACTGCGTAAGAGTGCAGACTTCTTTTAAGAGCACAATCTTCCCTTCACTGGTAGAGAATTCTCAGCTTCCCAGTAAAGCTGGAGTTTAGAGTGATTACTTAAAAGCAAGTATAGTAAAATTAATGAAAAGCCAGTCTTAAGCACATAGAACGCTTTTAGAAAGTACACTGAATTGTAAGGCTCAGAAATGTAAATTAAAAGGCTCAAGCCATAAGTCCCTTTGGAGTACTATTTAAGATTTTTTTAAAAAACGGACACTCTTCTGCCCAACGTGGGGCTTGAACTCACGACCCCCAGATCAAGTGTTTACATGCTCTACTGACTGAATCAGCCAGGTGCCCCATAAAAATTTTAAGCTTAGATTTGGAAAAGCAGCTTTTCCAGCTCACCTTGACGGAATTAGGGATGCTCAAAAGATTTCTAAGCCAGCATGCCAGTTTAATAATTTATAGGGAACAGACTGAACTATAGAGGCACCCCATTTCCCACTGCATCAAGGGCCGGTACATACTTTCCTTCCGATGCACCAGATGAACTGGGTGTCTTCCTATTTCAAACCAGTCCTAACTGCAGTGGGTTCCTCCTGACCCCTCAAAAATGGTGCAAATGTGGTTACCCCTTCATTTGCACCATTATTTTTCCTCTCCGGGCTAAAAACAAAACCCCTCCTCTCTTGACACCCCTCTCCCCAACAAGCCGCCTAAGGTACAATCCCATTTTTCTGCTCCCTCTCCCCGCAAAGCTAAAGTTAACCTCCCCTCCCTTTAACTCACTTCAAAGAGCATTTATCCCTACGCTGCACTGCAGAAGCCTGCGTGAGACACCATAAAACCCGCCGGACTCCCATCAGTGCACCTGGCACGGGCCACCGTTTGTTTTCAAAACGCTTTCCTTGGCTTCAGATGGGAGGGACAGTGCCTCCTGGTTTTCTACCTTGCTGGCCGTTCCTGGCAGTTCTGCTGTTCCCTCCTCCGATGACCTCTCGCACTGCCCTTCGCAGCTCCCAAAGGTAGGCTTTCAATTAAATGCCATTTGCATGATGGCGACTCCCATATTTGTAAATCACACCTAACCTCTCCCAAGCTTTCATGTCCCCATTCATCTGTCTAGCGATGCCTTGTGTATGTCAGAGAAGCACCTTGAAATTAATACTTCCAAATTAGAATTACTTCTCAGGCATCACTCCTCCACCAATTTGCGGACCAAAAAACCTAGGCGCCATCATCCTTGAATCCTTCATCAAACCCACGTCCAATGTGTTGGCAAGTCTGGGACATACCTGAACCAAACACATCCTGAACTAAATTCACCTCCGCTGCTCCTACCAGGCTACCGTCATCCCTCATAGTATCTTCACAGACCATCGTCCTTTTAAATCCCCCCATGCCTTCCTTACTACTGTCGTGAAGGCCCCCACTCTCATCCTCTGGTCTAGGTACACCGACCCAGATGGTTCTTCCTTAGCACACACTGCCTTTCTTCTCCTGGATCTTTGCATGGTTGAGTCAGTAGCTGAAATTCTGGTTTCCCTTTTGTCTGAGTCCTGCAGCACCACGGAAGTTCCACAAGGAACATTTTGCCTGTTTTGATCAAGGCTGTGTCTTTAGCACCAAGTGCCTAGTACTCAGTAGGTACTCTGTAAATACTTTTTGAATGGGTTGATAAATTCAGAATTTACCTACAGTGCTTTCCTGATAGGCCAGTACCAAATTTTGTATTTTAAAGTTTCCTGGAGAGCAAAGAATGGGGGCAGAGAGTTTTTAAGGGTTAGTTCTATCAGCTTGATTAACTCCCATTTCTATCTTAGGTTTGCTGATGCTAATAATCCCTAGATTACACTGGAATGATCACTGAATAATTCTTTAAAAAGAACTGCAGGCTACCTTTTCTGACATCACCCTGGGCTACTAATTCAGTCATAGCTTATGCTACATAAATTTTGTAATCTCTTTGTATGAGCTTCGATAGGTACTAGTGTTTTACGAGTGAGCTTTCCACCCCCGCCCCCAACCTTGCCACATAAATCTGGTAGTGTTCAGTTTTGCGGCTTGTACCTAAGCCTTCTTTTCACCAACTACAGTATTTTGTTTTACTAATGATGGGCCAATTAAATAGGTCAATAGTATTTTTTTCCATTAAATTTTTAAATTTTCAATGGCTAAACCATACTCTGCACCCTTAAATGATAGCAGTCATCGGTCAAAGGTAACAAACAGAGGGATAAAAAGCCCTATTTAAGATGCCAGTGTTTACAGTTATGGTGCCTCTTGAAATAAACAACTTTTAAATTGGGGTACGTTTGGTTACATGACGCATACTCCAAATAGTATAGGAGGCATTAAAAAAAGGCACTAATAGTGTAGAAACTGACAAATATGTTTTGATGTTCAATATGGAAATATCTAACATTTGTTCATATTAACCATCTGATGACCTGAGCCAAATTTAAAGGAAAAATCCCCAGAGAAGCAGTAACTGAAGTAGCAACATTTCCAAGCTGAGCAGAGACTATCCTAAAACTGTAGATTAGGACCGTTCCGGCACACAGTAGGTCTTGCGTATTTGTTCATTGGCCCAAAGTGAGCGTCTCTGCAAGCTCTCTATTGAAAAAAAAAAAAGGTTTTCTTCCATTTTCTGAACATCCGTTATTCGCTCGGCACTGAGGATATACAAATGGGGTTCCCTGAAGGAGCCCAAGAGGAAGACGACATAAATGATGAACATCCAGTGTCACGAGTGCGGGAATGATGTAGCTAAGTGGAAGGTGCCGGGGAGATGGGGACAGAGGCATTTCCATCTGCTTTGGGGAGTCAGGAGGCCCTTTAGGAGAAACCGCCCTCCTTTTCCAAGCCCCCTGTGTCTAGAGCCTCGGGTAGCTTTGGCGCAACTGGAAGGGAGAGGAGTCACACAAGCTGCACGGTTAGGGGCTACGTGAGGGCTTTGTACTACAGGCCACGGAATTCGGCTTTTATCCTGAGAGCGACGCGCCGCGGCGACTGCATCTTCCGCAGACGTGAAATGTTGCAGTTTGCAGGTGAGCGCACGCAAACGGGGAAAACCTCAGTCTTCACCCGCCCTCCGCCTGCTGTGCGCAGCAGTTCCCCGGAATCTAACCAAGTTTCCCTTCCTCGGCACCCCGGGGTCCCCGTGTGTCGTGCTCAGGACACAATCTCCAAGACCGGGCACCGGTGCTCGGGGAGCGCGCAAACGCTCTTCACCGCGACCAGCACATGGCGGTGCAGGGCCCCCGGCCGGCTACGCTCTCCTTCAGTGCCGCCAGCCCGTGTCACGGTCACTGCCGGTGCCGCTCGGTCCCCTCCGCCCCCGAGTCCCGGACACTTTCGTCAGGACGCTGCGGCTAGAAATGTCGGGGCGGGGACGGTAACTCTCCGGAACCCGCGTCCCGGCGGGTGGCCTCCCCCCACCGCCAGCCCCCGGCCCGCGCGCCCCTTTACCTTCCCCTTGGCGGGCTCGCCGGGCTCCGGCGCGGCGGCCATGGCCTCCGGAGGGCGCCTGCGTCCCGCCCCGCCCGCGCCGCGAGCGGAAGCCCCCTCCCCCGCCAGCCCCGCCCCCGCGCGCCGGCCGCCATTTTAGGGCAGGTTTCTGCCGTCTCCGCAGTGGCCGCGCAGGGCCGCCGCCTGGGTTTGGGGGGCCGTCTCCTTTGTTCAAACGGGCGGGTGACGCCTTCTCCACACGGGGGTCTCCGCAGTCCGGGGGGCCGGGGCCGTGAGACAAGGAGGGCTCGTGAAACAGCCCTGCACTGGGATCCTCGGCGGGGCGGGGGCAAAACAAAACCCTGGCGCCTCGAGGCTGCGCCGCTTCCCGCCCCAGCCCCCTCCTTCCGCCCCGACCGCCATTTCTAACCGTCTGCCGCCCGGCCCGCGCGCGCGTGCCTGGATG